TTTCTTGTGAAAAGGTTTTTTCTTTAGAAAATTACTATAAAAGGAAATTTTCTGAAATTTTGAAGATCAGCGGAAAGTTATTTTTTTATCAAAGCTGTAACCATATATATATATATACTATATATATATACATTAATAATCAAATTTATAAATATTAATTTAGAATATATTTAATATAACATAAAATTTTCTAACTAAAATAAAAATATAAAATAATAATATAAATTATGAAATAATCTTAAATAAAATTAATTTTAAATATTTAAGATAAATTTTTATAAACTTAAATATATTAAGAAAATTTTTAGTTTTTTTTTTCAAACCACTGTATATAAACTAGATAAGGAAAGCCAATATCAATTTCACAAAGCTTATAGTTAGACTGATTAACATATTTTTATATGCTGTAAGGAACTCAAAAAAAAGTTATAGAGTATACTCAATAAATCAAGTTGCTTTAATTCTTCAAGACTCAGAAGAATATTAAAGCTTCTCAAAACTAAACTAATATATATATATATATAATCAAAACAAACATTTTCTCATTATAAATTTCTTGAATCAATAAGTTAATAATTATACTTTTACTGTTAACGAATTGATTGAATAAACATCTTTGTAATATCACTGTAAAAATCAGATAACGAAAAAGTATAAAGCTACCATATAAATGTCCTCTTTTGTTTAGCATTATTAAATATTGAGGGCATTATTATACAGTGAAACTTTCTCCACATCCACAACTCTCTTTTATATTTGGATTGTTGAAAACAAATCTCGAAGAAAGCTTATCTTGTACATAATCCATCTCGGAACCGAGAATTTTGAAAACGGATTTTGAGTCTATCAGAACTGTAACACCTATTGGAGATAGTATTCAAAAATTAAGTTTTATTTATCGATCAAAAGTTGAAAACTCGAGTTCATGAAGAAAACTTACCATCCTGATTGATCTCTTCGTCAAATCTTCCCTTTTCTTTAGCATATTCTAGGACGTATGATAATCCTGCACAGCCTTTGTTCTTGATGGCTACGCGAATCAGCTTTGGGTCGGGACCTTCAACCAGCTGTTGAAGCCTATAAACCGCTGCCGGTGTCTCGATAGATAATCATATTAGCATGAGAAAAAAAAAAAAGAAACGGTAAAATTTAATAGAAAAGAAGAGAAATTTCATACTAAGGTCATCGCTGCCTTTTGTATACGGGATCGTTTACCAGCTAATGAAGCACCAGCATTCTTGAGCGTTCTAACCGCACTTGCAGACATTTTGAAAATGAAAATTTAAAAAAAAATCTACAATCCTTTATGTATTTACGACAAACTAACTCGTGACTGTTATATTAATAAAATTGGAAAAAATGAATTAAATATCAATCATTTGTTTTGAATAATAAGTATATAATGCAGGATCACAATTATAGGGTCAAAAATAATTACCCAATATGCGAACAAAATTTTCTCACGATGGGCCTTGTATTTAGGAAAGTAAGATACTGTATCTGATAATCCAAAGGATTACCGTAAAACGCTCTTCAAAGTGTATCCCCCCTGTAAAAATATATTCGGATATCCTAAATGTGTCGATTTCTATTAGTATTTGCCTTCTAATTGGATACAGATCTTATATTTTAAAACTTCAAATTCTCGAATTTACCATCCACTAGGGCGGTCGCATATATGCGTTGGCCAATCAAAAATATGCGTGTGGTAATTTATTATACAGTAGGGGACAAAAAAAATTGCCTAAATTTTTTAAAAAATATAATATAGATTTTTTTTTTTTTTTTAACCCACAATCATGTCAAAATGGCTTGTCTTTATTAAAATACTGGAAAAAATATCAAAATAATTTACAGATCTTTTCACGTAATAACTAACTTGTCTTTGTACATTATTAATTGAAGGATTATACTACTTAAAAAATATGAGGAGTTCACTAAGCTAGTTTGGATTAAACAAAACAGTCTCAATTAAATACTCCAAGTCAGATTTAGGAGACAATATTATACTCTTCTAGTAGTTTGGTATAATACCTCTAAGTCAATCAGAGTTATTATCAATAGTTTATTATTATCAGTTATCCCGAAAAAGATGAATTGTTAAAGTTGAACTGAAAAAAAAGAAAAATGAAAAACAATTCAAAGCTCTTCAAAAGATTCTTTTCCATTTCACAGTCTCTTCTTAAAAGGAGTCTTGCTTAATTGGGATGTTTTTTTTTGCTTCATTTGGATCTTAGAAGGAATCTTTTTTGTCACCACTTGTGACATCAGATGAGTTTTCATTTAAGCATATACCAGATTGAAATAGTTCAAAAGAAACCAAAAGATCTTAGCTTTCACCTTAAGGAGCCTTTTCATTATTTAAAGAACTTAGAAAAGAGATGGAATTTCTTTATATAGATCTACTTCACCTTTTGATATTATAACTATTTCCTGAAATCGAATATATGTAATTGTAGAGAACTTCTTCTAGAACATTCTTTTCTATATTACTCATGATAAGATAGAAATACATGAATGTGATCAATAGAAGCTTGTTTACTTTTCTTAAAACTAATATGTTTTATATTAGTCAATTACTTTTGATGAGAATTTGTGCTACTCAAAATTCAGGATCAAACTGAGATAGATAAAATTTCTCAGAAAATTATGAAAGCAATAGCTTTAAGAGGTTCAATAGTGACTGAAAGGGAAAAAATAAGTACTTTTGTCATCAAAAATCTCTATATACCTCTTGTTTCAAAGGTGATTAGACCTTTATGTACTTTACTATTGATTCTTTTTTCTTTGGAGATTTTCTTACCATTGGTATCAAAGGTATTCTTGATTATCAGAAATCAAGTTTTTGGTCAAAGAGGATTTTAAACAAGTAAGAGGGATAGAAATAACTCTTGAAATCACTCTTCAAGATATTTTAAGAAAAGTTTTAAGGACTTTTTTAACAAAGAAGCAAAAAACTTCTTGCAAACATTTTTTTTTATATATAATCAAAGAATCAGTAGAAAGAGTTATATTTATAATAAAAAAAAATAAATATAATATAGATATTTTAGTTTTATAAAATAATTTTTAATTAAATAATTTATATTTATTTAATAATAATAATAATAATTTTTTTTTTAAACTTTAACTTGTATTAATTAGATATAAAATTTTATTTGAAGAAATTCCACAGTCATTATATCAATAATCTTATACAAATTATACTGTATATTTCTATATATATACAGATTAATAATAATCTATTTTAGCTAGTTTAATTAGACCTATTACTACTCTGAGAGTAAACACATATAGTTAATAACTACTGTAAATTTTTTTTTTTTTTTTTTTTACCCTCTGTCAGGCTAGTTATGTGTGCTTTATTAAACAATTTTAAGCTGTACATATAGTATGAATCGCTAAAGCTAAAACTTTAACTAGCTCACTCGTCTCAGTAATTACTCTAAGTGC